GTTACCAGCTATGTGACTGTGGGCAAGACGTTTAGCATTTCCCTGTCCTTATTACCTTTGAGGGTTGTTCTGAGGTTTCATTCAATGACACATCACTCAAATCACTCACTTGCCTTTTGATGAATATGTGGATTTCTTTCTTTCATTTTCAATGTTATGGTTCATAATCAAACATCTGGGACCCATTAAGATTTTGAGAGTGCAGTGTTGAAATGAGCTAATTCTCGAAGGCTTTAACTGTAGGATTTCATTTGTTTTTCAAATAACAAACTTGATTAATATTTGATTAGATGCTTGTGGCACAGCATTTTTTTTTTAAAAAGGGGAAAAGACAAGTTTATTGGGTATAGAAATAGAAGGAATCAGAAGCCAGATGGCCAACGTCATCTTTGAAATTTGCAACTGCAAGATCATCACTTGACTAAAGTCTTTCCTCCCAAGAGTTTATATAAAAAAAGAAATCACACCAAAAACAAACCAAAACCAAAACATCACAAACTAGATTATTCAACATCAATAAAGTATTTTACTTTCCTGAGAGGTATTCCAAATTTCAGCAACAAACAAATCCCAGCAACAAAGACTTTATTTTCTTTTAAATAGTAAAAGAAATTGGAATGTGGCAGACTGAGTCAGTATAGGCTTTTCTAGCTGCCCTTCCCACCCAGATTATAATAATTTGAAGTAAATAAACACCTCACAAATACTCGAGTCAGTTTTTGTTATTTACAAATAATTTTTAATATATTATATATATATATATTTTGTTAACAAAGAAATCTACTGTAATGGCAGACCAACCCAAATTCTTGAACTAGGCACTAAGAAGACGTATACTGAATTAGTTAATAGTCTTAAAGTAGATTTAGTCTTAATGATTACCAATTCCTTGTTATCTATTAGTATCATACTCTTAAGCACTCTCACTACAGACTGTCCTTAAGTAACAAATGGAAGCTGAGCTATGCAATCCTTTCACATTTCCTTTTATATATTGATAAATGTGTGTGTGTGTATGTGTGTGTGTGTATATATATATATATATATATATATATATATATATATCCCGCAGTTCCCTAGCTTGTTGTGCAATTTTATATATATATATATATATATATATATATATATATATATATATATATATATATAATTGATTTCAGAGAGGAAGGGAGAGGGAGAGAGAGAGAAACATCAATGATGTGAGATAATCATTGATTGGCTGCCTCCTGCCAATCAATGGAGGCAGGAGGATGGAGTCCTCAACTGGCATGTACTCTGACCAGGAATTGAATGGTGACTTCTTGTTTCATGGGTCAATGCTCAACCACTGAGTCATGCCGGCTAGGATACACTTCCTTTTCTTACCTGTGACACATACAGTGACTCAGTGGTCAGCAAACTCATTAGTCAACAGAGACAAAGATCAACAGTACAATGATTGAAATTTCTTTTGAGAGCCAAATTTTTTAAACTTAAACTTCTTCTAATGCCACTTCTTTAAAATAGACTCGCCCAGGCTATGGTATTTTGTGGAAGAGTTGATGTTAAATAATTTTGATGTTGAATAATCTAGTTTGTGATGTTTTTGTTTTTGGTCTGATTTTTTAAAAATAAACTCTTGGGAGGAAAGACTTTAGTCAAGGGGCCAAAGAGCCACATGTGGCTCACGAGCCGCAGTTTGACGACCACTGAAATGACTGAATTAGGCAGTCCAAGGCCCACAGCAGCCTCTGAGTAACTGCTGAGTTGCATCCCCTCAATGCTATCTATTTTTCCTACTGTAAGTTCCAATTTAAATACTATCAGTATTCTGGGGATCATTTTCATACATGGTTCTACACATATATACATAATTTAACAAAAATGAGATATTATGTACAGTTTTTATTGTGACCAAGTTCAACTGCATCAAAAGCATTTTTAGGTACTTAATTCAGATGGCTATAAAGTAAAAAAAAAAATCATTTTCAGACCATATATATATAATTTTTATATCCACATATTTCAATCTCTTGAATGTTCATTACACTTTAAAATATTTTTGTCTATGCTAGTGAACCTTTGATGGGCTCTGCTTTAAATAGCACTCATCAGCCCTGGTTAGAGCATTGGCCTGTGCACAGAAGGGTCTTGGGTTCAATTCCCAGTCAAGTACACGTACCTGTGTGCGGGAGGCAATCAATTGATGTGTCTCTTCACATCGATGTTTCTCTCTATCTAAAAACAATGGGAAACTATTCTCTGATGAGAATTAACAGCAAAAAAAGAATAGTGCCTATCACAGTGAAGTGTACATTCTGTTTTAATATTTTTATTAATGTATATTCTCATTAATAATGTATATTTCACAGTGTCTAGTGAGAGGACTCCATGGATTCCTGGAAGTCTGAGTCAAAAGTATAAGTGACAAAATCTGCAGGTTTGGGTGGTTGTGGAGACTTCCTGGCTTAAATAGGAATTAGACACACAAAAAGAAGAAGAAGAAGAAGAAGAAGAAGAAGAAGAAGAAGAAGAAGAAGAAGAAGAAGAAAAAGAAGAAGCAGCAGCAGCAGCAGCAGCCATAAAGGTGACAGCTTGGGGCTTATTTGGTGGCACAATGGTGCCATAAAGGATCTGGCGTGTTTTAATTGTTCTGCTCTGTTTGTTGCTTTGTGGCTAAACTATGACTGCTGCACCTCTACTCCTCCAGTAGGGCAAGGATGAGCCCCATCTGCACATGTCTGTCCTTCCCAGAAGCCCCAGCAGCAGCTTCAACTTTAATTTTATTGGCAAATTGTGTTAAATGGCTGCCCTTAATATATGGGAGTCTAAAACAGTACTTTTCAGCTAGGAAAACAAATTCCATTAGATGACTAGATTAAGGTGACCAGATTTTAACATTGGTAAAGTGGGACACCATTGACCCGGGTGGGGGAGAGGGGTTCTTGATTAAAAATTTGGTCCATATGGAGCAACAAAAATTTTCATAGAATGCAAAAATAGTATTGTAATATATTTTTAAAAATTTCAACATACGTACAATTTACAAATATAATAAATAAAAATTATGTATAGTTGTGTCACTTCCAAGGTTGGCGCTAGACTTTTTGCCGCCACTATAAAATATAAATAATACGAGTACTGTCTGCTAAGTTCAAGAAAATTTATGTATTTATGAAATAAATAAATTACTTACCTAAATTATCTGAATAGCTGATTTGTAATGACATCACTTGTTTAACTAGCTTACTAGCATGCAGTATGATGTGTATGTCTGAGAGACAGTTACAAAATGTTTTCGTGGTTGCCAATCCTAAAAAATGCCATTGTTCATTAAGTCCAAACAATGGTGGTCGAATTCTAACAACTGATCAACAATGCGAACTTTGATGAGCAGTTCTCGATAATCAGTTCTCAACAATAATTTGTTATTATTAAAGTTTAACATTATAAAATTAACAAAATAATATAAAACTCATATCCTGGCTAAATAGCCACATGGCCGCTGAAAACCGTATATTCCCTTCCCGTTCTCCTGCAGTTCCCTAGCTTGTTGTGCATTCTTTCCAAAAATTGGGACTTTTTTTTAATACGCTGCGGGACGCATGACAAATTGTTAAAAATTGTGACTGTCCCGCCAAAAGCGGGACGTCTGGTCACCTTAGACGAGATATTAGTCAGAAAAAGACCGTAAGACTTCTACTACAGAAAACCCCAGCAAGCTGTCCTTATCCCATGACAAGAAAGAAAGAGGACTTCCTCGTATTTGAGAGGAGCATTGAAAGGTATGGGTGGTAGGGTAGGTATCCTACCACAGAGAACCAGGTAAGGGAGGGGAGGTGTGAGCAGCTGAGAGGGAGAACTTGCCCTTGGTCACTAACATAGCGGTAGATAACCTTCACTAACCCCCCAGAAACTAAGAGGAAAAGGAGTCCAGCTCCCCAGAGTCCCCTATAGCATCTGCTTGCATCCTCCTTGAAGGGAATCCTGGAGCTGTGAAAATGTGCATCTAACTTACTGTTCTGACTCCCAAACTCGTGCAGAAAATGGAGAGTAAGTCAGCTTTGGGCATTGCACTTAACCTTTGCGTTCCCATGTTTAAGACATTTAAACAGAAAAATAACACTGTGCTGAACACACAGTAGGTACTGAGGACACACTTGTCAACTGTTGTGAAGACCAAGAGGAAAAAAATGGAAATGAACACGTGTTTGGGAGATTGCCACTCGCTAGAACTGTACAAGATGGTTTCATCACTCATGGCCTCATCAGCACGCAGTCAGGTAGGTATCACAGGTTCCATTCAGTGTATGAGGCTCAGAAAGGTTAACCAGAGTCACACATGGAGGTGGACTTCAGGGTTATCTGAAAGCCTCTGCGCCTTATGCAATGTACCCCACGGTCTCTCCGCCAAAGCTGTGGGAACCTTGCTTTGCAGACAGTCGACACTAGACATTTTGAGCAGAATCTGACTTAACATCAGGCTTTTCCAGAGACAACACTTAGGATGGAGGAACCCGTCCCAAATCTTCGGGGTGTGATCCAAACAGGACATGCTAACGCCCGCTAAGCTAGTGGTGAGGCCGGGGCTTGGGACCCAATGCCTTGTGAGGCCAGGCGAGCTCCAGGCGGGCTCCAGGCGGGCTCCAGGCGCCCTCCACGCGCCCTGGCGGCGCGAGGTGGCCAGGAACCGCGCCCCGGCTGTTCCGGGCGGAACCAGGCGCGGGTGGTCCGCGGGTCCGGCGGGCGCGGCGTCGGTGGAGCCGCGCGTGACGCACTTCCGGCCTGCGGCTTCCGGCTTCAAGGGCCCGAACCTGGCTCCCAACAACAACAAAACGGGTTCGCGGGCGGCGGCGCCCCGGCTCCAGTCCCCGCCCTCCTGCCACCTGCCGCCGCCCGGCCTGGCCTGGCCCTCGCCGGCCGCCCAGCTCGCTCCCCGCCGCCCGCTCCCGCCCTGTCCTGCGGAGCCTCGGACTCCGGCCGCGCCCTTCGGCCAACTCCTCCCGCCGCGCCCGCGCCGCCTCGCGAGACCCGCTGGCCGCGGCCGCGCAGAGCAGCAGGAAGGGAGCGGCCGCGGCGGAGGGAGGACGCCCGGCCCGACTGTGCGGCCGGTGGCCCTGCTGGGCACGGAGGGCGGCGGTGGCGGGCCCCGCGGCCGGCTCTCAGGTACCTCTGCCCGGCCGGCCGCCCTGAGCCCGGCCTCGCTCCGGCCCGCGAGGCGGGGCCGTCGCGTAGGGGCCTTGTTGCGTTTCAGCGCCGGGGTCACGGCGGGGACGGGGTGGCGGCTCGGACCGTGGCGCCCCCCACCCCTCCCTCCCTCCCTCCTCACAGCTTTCTTCCTCTCTCCCCCCGCCCCCTCCGCAGTCCCGAGTCCGGCGGAGCCTAACGGAGCCCGGACCTGGCGGGGAACGCTGCACCCGCGGCCGGGCCCCCTGACCCCGCCGCCGCCGGCGCCACCGCCCATCCTCCTCGGTCCCGGCAATGGCCTTTGCATCGCCTGGGGCACTTGTGACTGACTTGGACAAGGAATATTAAGACCCACTCACTTCCGTCCCGATCCCGGCCGCACCGGCTCCTCTGGGCTCTTACCTGCTGCTCCTCCGGACTCTTCGGCGCTGGGGGCACCATGGAACAGAGTGGGATGGAGATTCCCGTGACCCTCATCATTAAGGCGCCGAATCAGAAATACAGTGACCAGACCATTAGCTGCTTCTTGAACTGGACCGTGGGGAAGCTAAAATCGCATCTCTCTAACGTGTACCCTAGCAAACCAGTAAGTGTCTGACAGCTGGGCGCAGCGGCCGGGGGCTCACCTCCCTCTCCCCCCCACCCCCCCCACTTTGTTTTGCGTTCCGAAGTTGTGTGAGGCTCTTGAGTGTCCGCGCCCTCATTCATCTCTTCCTTAGGAGGTTCAGTTAATTAACAAGAGTTGACAGAAATATTAAGGGACATACGGATTGCAGGCAGGCATAAAAAAATACCATTTTCCTTGGACTAAAAGTCATCAACCTAATATGGGATGACAGATGCATTCTTTAAAAAAAAAAAAAATAAAGAAGCACAACAATTCATATTAAAGCTGCTATTGCTTATTAGACTAAGATTCCTCTTTACTTTCAACACTGGCCCAGAAAGTTGCTCACCATTGTTGAAGAGCAAATGTTTTTATCTTGGAAATAAGTATGTGCCCCTGTAAAAATTACATGCTCAAGATTACCATATGTCTTCTAAGAAGCAAAGAAGTGTGAGTTTTAGACTCACATTCCTCTGTCCCTCCCTCCTCATTTTTCTCCTGTACCGGGACACAGACATTTCGCTAATTTACAATAGAAGAGAACAATCCTTCCACCCCCTCCACCATTTGGTGCATCTTTTTATTCCTTTCGTATGGCCACTTGTAAATCATTGTGGCAGTGTTTAACATTCTGAATCATATCTGGATATTGCAAAGATAATAAATAGGGACTACAGCTCCATCTGTTCCCAAAGGTAGGTTTGAAAGGACATGGTTGGTAATTAAGAAGTCTTGATAAGAAGGCATGTGATCTATATTCAGAAGTTGATGAATTAGGACTGTTTTGTGTTACAGTATTAAGTTTAGTTAATTTAGATTTCTGAAATAATTACAGAAATCCTGAGGTTATTGCAAGAATGGGAGGTTTAGAAAAACAATTCTCAGTTGGCATTAGCTGTGCTTGTCAGCACCTTGTGATACAAATATTTTTAGGACAGGAAATAAAAACCCAGAGGTAGTTAAGGACTTGGAACAAACTAGCTGGAACTCTTATTTAAATCTTTTTGTATGAAAGTTAAAATTTACACAAGGGATAACAATTTGTTTTAAAAACTTTAGCTTTATAAAAGATTTTCTATTGTATGTGATTGGTTTTTGCACAGTTTTGAAGTGGAAAATAGCTTTTCAGAAGTCAATTTAAAGTCATAGACTTCCATAGTACTGCTCATAGCATAGTCTGAATACCGTTCCTAAGTAATACATGTCCCAGTACATACTCTCAAGTATGTACTTAAGTGAAGTTCTTTATGCTATATGATTAAACTAAAGTCAAAAGGAACTTGGTTTGCAGTCTGATAGACCAAAGTTCTTACTTTCCTAAAACTTTCTCTTTTGTAAAAACTCTCTGAGGAATGTAAAGCATTCTGCCTTATCTGCACCCCTCCCAGCACTCACCTGTGCGGGCTGTCAGCGCCTACCTGGGTGGGTCAGCTGCTGGAGACAGTTACAAACTTCTCACCCTGTCCTCCTTATCTACCTGCTGTCTGGACGCCCTGGAGACTTGCAGGCTGTGCACATAATATGCAACCTAGTAATTGCCTGACTACCTAATTTTGTGGCAAACCCGACATTTTTCCTCCTCCAGCAAGCTTTCGCCAACTGAATTGCATTATCTGAAGGTTATTTCTAGGTTAATGAGAGTGGGTGGGCCTTGGGGCAGGTGGCATGTGTTTATTTTTATAGAACTTCGCTGAAAACTTTGTGTGGTGATTGGATTTGACAGGCTGACAGTTTAACTTAGTTGTCACATGAGAATTTGAAGTTTCGCCGTTGTTCAACAGACCAGCTGTTTAATAACACCCCAAAGCCAGAGGTAGTTCTCAGTCTAGGCCAGTGGTTCTCAACCTTTCTAATGCCACGACCCTTTAATACAGTTCCTCATGTTGTGGTGACACCAACCATAAAATTATTTTCGTTGCTACTTCATAACTGTAATTTTGCTACTGTTATGAATCGTAATGTAATTACAGTTATGAAATAGCAATGAAAGTAATTTTATAGTTGGGGGTCACCACAACATGAGGAACTGCATTAAAGGGTCGAGGCATTAGAAAGGTTGAGAACTTCTGGTCTAGAAAGTGGACTCCCCAAAGTTTTCTTTATCAGGCTGTAAGTTAGAACAGAGAACATTTTGCAACATAAGCAATGTTACAGGACAACTTAATGCATTACACAGGAAGTTTAGTTTCTTAGGACCACCCACAGTGATTACTTAACATTGATTCTATGTTGGTGTTTAACAGCGGTCATTTTTATGCCTCATTCTGTGCATGTCTGCCTGCGGGGGTGGGTGGACTTGGAAGCAGAGTGGGGTTCCAGTGCCTTGTAGAAGCACTTGTCCCCCAGTAAGAGGTAGAAAAGTTGGCGGCTCTGGTCAGCACTGCTCTTGCTGGGTGCGATGGTTTATGGGTCCCTGTGGGCGGTGGCCTGTAGGAAAATAAATGGAAGCTGATGGAGGGATAAGAATGGATATCTGAAGTTGTTCCTTTTAGGCTATCTACAGAGTTAGGTCATGTGTCTACATTGCTATTAAAGGATTCAGCAACAGTGTGTAAAATCTTAAAATTCTAGTTTTAATAACAGATATTGACTTGTCTTAATCATAGATAGTCTCCGCATGGATATTTTAAATACAATAAACCCACAATAGAAAAACTACCCCACCCAAGCACACTTTCTTGGGCTTCATTTATTTACTTTCACTTGGATTTTATTGATATGGCATTTGAATGTCTGTATGCCAGGCATGAAAGGGATGGTAAGAGTCCCTTACTCTTATGAAGCTGAGGTCTAGTGGGGGATACAGAGATGAAAGAAAATAGCTAATATGCTAATATTATGGAAATGGTGTTACAGCGAGGAATGTGCTGAGCGTGGCAGAAGCACAGGGAAGGAACAGTCGATGCGGGTCCAGGAGCAGGGAATGTGTAGCTGTTTTAAGAAGAGGTTCGTTCACAGGGACATTTTTCTTAGGGTTGGTAACAGTTTTAAGCATACCAGACGAGAACTTTATAAAAGCCTCTTCTGAGAGCTCCTGTTGCGCTGCTTCTAAGTACTTTATGCACTTTATTTCTTGGTGTGATAGTACTATGTAAAAAAGATTGTGGGTCCATAATGGGCTACACAGGGGAAGGTGTTTTCCTGGTAGGAAGTAAGGCAGTTGGACATCATTATTTTTAAAACTCAGATGTGGAATTGAGATCTTTGGAGTTTTGCTTAACTTTGAATGTTATTGATTATTGGTTTAGAACTGGGAAGTGTACCAATTCATGTTAATGGTATATGTAGATAATATTCTAATCAGATGTTTGTCATCGCTTCAGGACTTCAGATTTTGAGATCCTGAAATGTTGGTGTTTGCTACTAAGGGGTGAAGCTGCCTGTGAAGAGGTCCCTTTTACTTGTTTCAGACTTTTATGTGGCTTACACTTACTTACTTAGAGCTGTAAATATCAAAATGGTTGAACTTCATGTTATCCAGTAGAACACACTATCCTGGAGAAAACTTGAAAAAAAAAAAAAGAAAAAAAAAAGAAAAATAAGAATCTCTAAATCCATTAGGCCCCTTTCTCGTTATCTCTCTCGTTTTTTTACTCTCTCATACATACATAATTACTGAGATGGATCTGACTCACAGTGAATTCAGTTTTGAATGCAAACCTTCCTGGAGCTTGTGTACCTGGCTTTCCCTTGGTCAGTGTTGAGGTCAAATGCCTGTGGAACATGTCCCTCAGTCCAGGGTAGGTTTCCTGCATCTTGGTGCTTCTGTTGTTCAAGAAGTCAGTTTCTTTACTCAGGCCTTCCAGCTCAGTTAGGGAGATTTGTGCTGGTTTTCAAATTGTTCCTCCACTCTGAGATTCTGTTAGAAATAAAGAAAACAGAAATAGAACTAGCTGTGTAAGTTCTATTTCAGAACCCAAATTGCCTATAATTGAGATGGACATCTGACTCATTATCAGTGAAAATGGCTTGTGTAATATAATTTGAGGTTATGTCTCTTAATTTTGTAATTCCCCATTATCTTATTTAGGCAGGTCATTTAAAAAATATCTGCTTAACCACCTCTGAACTGATTCAAAGGTACTGTAATCCATACATATTAAAAAGCATTTATAAAACAATTATAACATTTTAGTACATACATTTAAGAGGGTTTCATATCACATAATATGGTTCAAATTTTTAAAACTTTATTAAATTGAGTGTGAAGGCTGATGAAAAGTTGAAAGTTTTGAATGAATGTGGGTTAAATTTGTTTTAAATTTGTTCCTTACATAAATGCATACTAATTTTTAAAAGGTTTTATTAAAAAAATATATTTTTTATTGATTTTTAGAGAGAGGAAGGGAGGGGAAAGCAGAGCAGTGATTGGCTGCCTCCTGCAAGCCCCTACTGGGGATCAAGTCCAAAACCTGCCTAGATTTGAACTGCAGCGGTTTGGTGCAGGGGACAATGCCCAACCAACCGAGCCACACCGGCCAGGGCAATAAACACTCATCTGATGGTCTCAGATGCTTTTATTTAACTATTAGAGTTAAATAATAGTTAACTATTTAACTATGCTAACTGCCATTTACTAAATAGTTACCATGTGTACCAGATATTCTACTGAGCACTTTATCTGTTTTATCACATTTATTCCTTTTATCTCATTTATTCCTTTAGAGATACCTTATGATGTTAAGTTTTATTATTCTCTCTCTCTCTCTCTCTCTCTCTCTCTCTCTCTCTCTCTCTGTCTCTCTGTCTCTCTTTTGCCCAAGTTCATAGAATTCTATGTAGTGGAATTTGAATTTTAGGGACTTGGCCCTCTCAGTTGTATGTTTGCAAATTAAAAGAACTATAAAAAGAGGTCTATGTGTTTAGCTGGTCTGTTATTTAACGGCTACAGATGAATGGGTTGCATAACCTTAATACTGTTCTAATGCATCTCAACTTAGTGTATGGTTACTTCTACTGATTTTGATAAATGATGGGAAAAATAGGGGTATATACTCTCTTAAGAACTCAAAGCCCTATCTTCTCACAATCCTGCTTGTTCATGTGAACCACAGCAGGCATGTCCTCTGGCAGTCCCTGTGGTATCTATACCTGGTTTGTGCATGGCCTGTGAGTGGAAACAGCTACGCAGGGAATGTCCCTGTGGAGTTCTAGAGGAAATTCTTCTGTTAGCTCTGTGTGCTGGTGTTGCTTACAGTTGTTGCAAGGAGATAAGGTTTGGAGACAGTTTGGGTAAACTGTGCTTCCATTTATAGTGTTTGTGAATTTCCTGGGGCTTTAGGTGGGCTGATCTAGTGGGAGTGGGGGATATGTTCCAGTACAGATTCCCAGAACTCACTTCCCACGGAAATGATGTTTGTGCATGTCTTGGGAACCAGCTCTTCAAAGCTGTTTGGCACTTGTGACAGCTGTATGCAAGTACTGAAATGTTAACAGTTACTACTTTCAGAGGACTCGGTCATTGTTCTTTGAACTGACATATAAGTTGTAGATTGCTTTAACTGAGCTATTTGATTATTTTGAAGTTGGATATACTAAGGACATGGTTTTTTAAAGCCATGCATAGTTATGAGAGACTCATTTAGTTCTTCACGTGAAAAATTTAAACTTTTAATACCAACTAGGCGACTTCTAGAAATATAAAGTATTGCTGGCTTTGTAAAACTCAACTACCAGAATCTAGTGATATTTAATATGTGTTAGGGATGCATATACCGTAGTATTTTATCTATTTTTGGTATCTGAATAAATGTTGAAAAGTCAGACACTTTAGATAATAATATGTAACTTTTAGAAAGAGAAAAATCTTTCCCCAAAGGATTAATTTTGCATTTTTTACTGGCCTTTCCTCACCCTGTTTAATTTTTTAGAGTGTCTGTTTAGTGGGTGGCAGAGTTTTGGGGTCAGCTGGTTAAGCAGCTGTGCATTCGGAGTGCTGTAGTTCTCTCTCTGCCTTTTCGGGCCACCATCAACTTGGTCATTTAGATGGCCATGCAAGAGCTGGGCAAGAATATGCAGGTAGAGTGTCTGAGTCAGGAAGGGGCTTAGTATATTGGAGAGCTAAGTGAACGCCAGTTTGGCTAGTGAGTGAGGCGGTAAGAATACCATCAGAGGAGGTCGGGGAGAGGCAGAAAACAGACCTGCTGGGACTGTCTGGCGGTGGTAAGGAATTAGCTTTAAATCCAGTGTGGTGGGAATCCAGCCGAGGGACAGGGTTGGTTTGCACTTTTAAAAGATGTTCCTAACTGTACTCCTCTCCTTTTCTCTCTTATTCATTCCAATTAAGTTTGTCCAAGTTGCTTTTATGAAGACCACTAGTGATTTCCATGTTGCAGGATACTCTGAGGGAGCACAGAAATAAATAGAATATTGTAGTATGAAAGAAGGACACTGTGAGTAATAACAAAAGCCTGGAACTACTCAAATATCCGTTAGTAAATGGTAGCATCCTAATATATAAAGAGCCAGGGTCCATAACGTCCAGAACGCCCGAGCGGACGACCGAAAGCCAGGGTGCGTGCAGCAGGCCGGTGTTGGGGACTGGCGAGCTGGCCGAGCTGCTGACCTCTGAGTCCCTTCTGGGCGCAGGCGCTGCAGTGACCCAGCACTGACTGCCACCACCAAGGCAGGGGCGATGCAGTTGGTTGGTGAGTCCCGCCATTGTCCCATGATTGCCCTGCAGAAGGAGGCCCAGGCCACTGGCTAAGGGCTCCACGATTGCCCCAAAGAGGGAGGCCCAGGCTACCCGCTGGCAGTGGTGGGTGGGGCCTCCCTCTGCAGGGTGATCAATCCTGAGGCTCCTGAACTACAAGAGAGTGCAGGCCGAGCTGAGGGACCACCCCCTGTCAAACCCCCCCCCCCACCTGAGTGCATGAATTTCATGCACTGGGCCTCCAATGTCTGTATAATGGAGCATTATGGACTGCCAAGAAGAATGGGGAAGACATCCTAATTTCCAGGTTATATTAAGTGGGAGGACAAGGCACAAAATATTAAGTAGAGTGTACTAGCTTTTATGTGAGAAAAGGGAAATACTTGCTTATATTCAGATTTGTTGTGTTGTTAAAAAAGAAATAGTGAAAGGGAAATTCAAAATTGATGTTTCTATCTCTCTCCCCTTTTCCCTTCCTCTCTCTGAAGTAAATAAAAGCATACTTTAAAAAATTAGGGAGGGAACAGGGACAGAAACTAAACCTCTCTGAATATATCTCATTCTATAATTTTTACTTTGTTGCCATATAACTTAAAAAATTAAATAGAAAAAATGGCAACACAATAATGTAGTGATTCAATGTGAGGGTGGTGACATAACTGCAAGAGGAATTATACCAAGTAATTTTGAAACAGTATTTCATCTATGTATTTCTAGTGGGATACATGTAAGGATGGAAGAAAGCCATAAGACATGGTAAACTTCATCCGAAACTGTTATTCTTATTTTGAGGTTGTATACAGTAGGATAAAGCATATAAGTAAGTTTGCTAATGGCATATTTTGTTTGTTAATGTCATTAGGAAATTTGGTAATTGTATTTTATTATGTCTACAATAAATATGTTACCATTTGCTGAGCTCTTAATGTCTTAAGTGGAATTTGGAAAAACAGAATTCTTAAAATATGTCAGTATTCTGCTTATTTGTGCCTAAATGGAGTTTACTTTACTCATTTTTAGGCATGTTATTCCCAACCTTTATTTTGTATAATTAGAAAAAGTTGAATTATTTTCTTTGTCCCATTTCTTAGTTGACGAAGGATCAGAGATTGGTGTATTCGGGCAGACTGCTTCCCGATCATCTGCAGCTGAAAGACATTCTCAGAAAAGTAAGCAGATCTCTACCACTACTCGGTACCAGACACAGTCAGAGTGTGAGAGGAGATTTGTTTTGAAATTTTATCAATATCCAACCAGTTCATTTTTCGGATACATAAAATCAACCCTTTGGGTAGCATAGCATGTAAACATGAGCTAGAAAGTAAAAAACAGTGATAGATTCCAGTTAGTTTAGGTAACAGTTTTGTATATCTCTCTGATAGCTAACTAGGATTACACATTATGTTCAGGTGATTGGCATTTTGTGCAGGAAAACTCTTATCAACTTACCAGTAGTGCAGAAGTGGAGAGTTCAAGGAGTGGTGCAGGATTTTCACTGAGGACAGTCTCCTCGCCTAGATCCCCTTTGACCAAATTGTATGACATTTTAATACAAGTTGCTTGGGTTAGGAGTTTAATTTCAGGGCAAGAAATAAAAGGAAGCCCAGTTGGTCCACCAGTTAGCAACCTTGAAAGCTGGTGCTTTGAGCTAAAATATATTTCAGTGTAGCTTTTTGATAATCAGCTGGAATACAGTTTTCGTGGTTTTTTTTTTTTTTTTTTTTTTTAATGGCAACTTTTAACTCATTGTTTATTTGTGGAATTTATACTTTTATAATCTCTCTGCATTTGTGATGCTACATTTTGTTTGTGAATATATAGCTTTGATATTTTGCCTTAGGTCTTTGACTTAACTCTTAAAGTTGTTCGAGACCAATTTAAGAAATCTGCATCCTCTCCTTTTGTTTATGATCATCAGAGAAACTAAGAAATCTTATATCAGTATATTCCTCCTATTCAAAAGTTGACATTCTCACTCTGCCAGTGTGACTTCTTGCTGTCATTTTCATTTTAACTAGTAGTTTCAGTTTGCCAAGGTGGTTTAATAACTTCTTACTCTCTCAAAAATAGTGGAATTTGCAGCAATTTTTCTTTCTCTTTTTAATAGACTATTTTTTTTTTAGACAGTTTTAGGTTCATAGCGAAATTGAGCAGAAAGTACAGAGATTTCACTTTTACTCCTTGTCCCCCCACATGTACAGGCTCCCCCACTAACACCATTCCATTTTAGAGTGGAACATTGCTTACAGTTGATGAACTTGCATTATTGACACATCATTATCACCCAAAGCCCATGTTTTACATTAAGGTTCCCTCTTGGTGACATTCTGTGGGTTTGGACAAATGTAGAAGGACATGTATTCACCATTATAGTACTGTACAGAATAGTTTCACTGCCTCAGAATCCTCTGTGCCTCTCCTGTTCATTTTCTCTATGTTTTTATGCTTAAAAACATTGATGCTGTTTACTCTTTAAAGTAGAGATTTATTTTATTATTTTAACCCAAAGATAGCTAGTTCGCACTGGAATGTTTTTAAAAAAGGTTCTTGCTGCCAGAAATGGTTTCTAACCAGAACACTTAAAAATGTTTCCGTGGAAGGACGGACGGCCCCTTATATAAAACACTTTGAATAATATGTTTACATTATGAATAGATCTTTGAATTGTTTTTGTTAGTCAGTGAACCACTTCTTTTTTCAATTAAATGCTGCCATTAGCTTTACCTATTTAGTTAAAGGAACATTCCCAAAAGGTGAACAAATGCTGTAGTTAATTCAATTAGTATTACCTTAGTAGATCTCCAAGGGTAAACATCTTATATTTCATTGCTTTTTAATATTCTATGTTCTGAAGCTAAAAGGATATTGTAAGTCAGGAGTGCCTTCTATTTACCTTATTAGGCACATCTCATGTCAGACTATCGCTGGAAGTTCTTCTTAGCATTCTACTAGTAATACTAACTTCTTTCTTTAAACTCCTAGAGCTTGTAGTTTGTGCTTCTTAGTTCTGTGCAAAAGACTGTTTTATGTAGTTCTCTAATTGTGCTCTAATGCAGTGTTTTTCAACCTTTTTTGGGCAAAGGCACACTTGTTTCATGAAAAAAATCACGAGGCACACCACCATTAGAAAATGTTAAAAAATTTAACTCTGTGCCTATATTGACTATATATAAAGTAATTCTCTTGAATAGGAATCAAATAAACACAAAGAAAGTATTTTATAATTACTTTATTATGAAATATTAAGTAAACAAAATAGTGAAAAATTATAAAATTCTTGTCTTGTCTGCACCTACGGCACACCAGGCAACATGTGCCGCGGAACAGCGGTTGAAAAACGCTGCTCTAATGCGCCAGTCTGATCTTTTAACAGTGTCATGAGCCTCTTCAGGGGAGGGGCTGACTCTTACCTTTCTGGTATTCACCTCAGAATTAAGCACAATTCTAGACTTATGGTAGGCATTGGGTAAATTCTTAGTTTCCAGTAACTTTGTTTCTCTTTCTCACAACTGGGCATCTTCCTTGTCTTCCTGCCCTTTTCTTTATCATATTTCATTTTTTTTTTTCTTCTTATAAGTTGCTGAGCTATCCTGTGTTCTTCTCTGTCCTTTATTTTCTTTCCTTTCTCCATCTTATTTACTTGCTTCATGCCTAAGTATATATACTCATGTAATTGCTAAGCTAGTCATTTTTAGAAATTTTTCCTTCATAATTATAGGTTTATGGAAACACATGGAATATTTGTAGAATATAGTTCAAACGTATGCTTTTACTTAAATATAAGTATTATAGATAAAACCAGATTTTGACTGAAAAACAACAACAAACAAAACACACACACAAAAAAAACCAAACTATACATCCCCTTGCTAAAATTAAGGCAAATGAGATTATGGTGAAATTATTTGAGTTTCTTTATTATAGCTGCAAAATCTAAGTAATGGAAATATTTTTACTTCTCAAAGTTTACAGGACTAAGCTTCAGCAACTATTGCCATTCCGATATTAAGGTGCTAGATGTTTTCATATTGAAATAATAGGTTCCATGACAGAGCTTTACAGCACTGTTTGCTTCAATACTCCTTTGTATAGAAAGTAATCATTTTTTCATATAGCAGTTACTGAGTGTTTAGACCATTTTCCAGGCATGGAGAAAATGTAGAATTCAAAAGGGCTCCAAATTCTAAAATGGTGAATTTACCTTCAAACAACAACACCTTCTTACTAACAGATGGCTATGCCGGAAAGGAACTTAAGTTTTGAGTCAAGAATTTCAGCTGAGCTGCTATTGACATTTGCCTGTGCATTTCCAGTGCGACCCTTTCAGTGTGACCTTCTTTACTTCTAGCAAGACGAGTATCACATGGTCCACCTGGTGTGCACCTCCCGGTCTCCTCCCAGCTCTCCCCACTCCAGCTCTCCACACTCCAGCAGCCGTCCGGAAGGCTGTGAAGCGTTGGCATCTAGTAGCAATTCTGTGAGTCGTTTGGGAGGAGTAAATGATAATTTCTCATATTTCTTTTGCTTCTAAAAATTAAGTGAAAAAAACAAAAAACAGATCAGTTGGAGCTTGTGGGTTGTGAGATGGTGTTTTGAGTTAGGGATTTAAACTTCGTTTTTAGAAGTACGTTATACAGTGTTATCTCTTGAAGACTGTTCCCCTGTATGCAGATCAGTAATCTAATAGTCAGGAGTTTAACTACTAAAATACTAAGAAAACAGAATTATGATCTGTTACATAATATAAGCTCTAAGGCCAGGAAAATTTCAGAAATAAGGTGTTGAATATAGTGTATTTTATTCAAAGTGGATTAAATTATTTCAGTTTTAAATATGCTAAGTCCTCTTGAAGTAGATTGTTTGTTCAAGAATTTTATTTTATTTTTAAATATTTTTATAGGAATGGGAAGAGAGAGGGGGGTAGAGAGAGGGAGAGAGCAAGAGAGAGAGAGAGAGAGAGAGAGAGAGAGAGAAATCTATGTGAGAACAAAACATTGATCAGTTGCCTCCTGCACACCCCCTACTGGGGGTTGAGCAACCTCGGCATGTGTCCTGGCCGGGAATTGAACCAGCAACCTTTCGGTGTACAGGAGGATGCTCCAACACCATCTGAGGCAAGAATTTTACTTTTCAAAAAAATGACTAGATTTGGGCATACATTCCAATTGTAGGAGGAAAAATTACTTAACCTACTCAGCTCTGTTAGACTTGGGTATTCATTTCTCCTATCTTAGTTTTTCATTAACTAAAATTGTTCCGGAAAATTTTCTTAAACGTTTCAACTTAGGCGTTCCTTACAAGTACTAAAGACACTGTCCCAAATCCTTTTATCTTATTTTTGGTTTCCCATTAAAGCTTTGAAGGTGAGCGAAAAGGATTGGATGAGCGGAAGCTTGCTTTAAACTTCCTGGGCAGAGACTTTTATACTGCTAAGTACACTTTCCTTCTTGTCAAGAACTGAGCCGAAACTGTAAGGAAGGGGATGAGTGGCAGAGGTGATAACTAGATGAAAGACCTTCAGTAGCTGCTAGTTAAATGGTCCTTTAAGATCTAGATCCTCCTGTTGCTGTATTTAATTACATGTCATCAATGGCAGTATTCTCTAGGACCAGTTGTGGGAATTTAGCTTATATTAAACTGAAATATGTTTTGCCAATAAACCTAAGGGCCTGGGTCTGTTTCCCACCTTGCTCCAGAGGGACAGTCATCGGCAGTGGCATGAAGTTCTGTGTTGTAGTCTTTGGGCACAGTTGTGTTGGTTTAGTTTTTGTTTGGTTTAGTTTTTGTGTAGTTTAGTTCTAGAATCCTCTGACTTGTCCAGTGGTTCCGCAGCCATGATTTCCTGGCGTTAGTATATATATGTTAAGTTTTCAAGGTGTAGTATAAAAATATGAAATGTGTCAAAGGAAAATTAAGTTGAATTTTCCTTAATGCTTTAAGACTAAGAAATTTCAGTAGTATTTGAAATTGTCTTAAAAATCTAATCATACGAGAGTTATCTAATGAGGTCAGAAATCCTGAGTTCTAAAGAAATAAGGCTGGGCTGCCAAATGGCTAGGCCTTTCTCCTGTTAACTTTCAATTAGCCACCTTTTTATGGTTCACTTTATGAGAAATATTGTCAAAAAAAGAAGCCTTTCTGAGTGATATCCCTAAGAATCAGAGTCCCCAGTGAGATATTTGGTATCTTTTTTGTGTGGAATAACATCTTAACGAAAAGCTTGTGTTAGTTTTGCAAAAGACCAGTGTTCTTGGGACCTTTTACATGGCAGGATGTAGGACGGGAGCATATGCTAAACAGACATCCTGTCACTAGGAGGGCAGTGCAGCTAAAACACAGTTTTAGCAAACCTGGATGTTCAAATTATATTGTACCCAGGTATTTTATTTATTTATTTTTTAAAAATATATTTTATTGTTTTTTGGTTTTTTTTTTACAGAGAGGAAGGGAGAGAGATAGATAGCCAGAAACATCGATGAGAGAGAAACATCGACCAGCTGCCTCTTGCACACCCCTTACTGGGGATGTGCCTGCAACCGATTGTACCCAGGTATTTTAAATGGAAGAGCTATAATTTATATAAAATATTTGTGTTTCACATTTACATAGAACATGATAATTATTTTCAAATATTAACAAATTGGGCGGTCTTAAGGCATTACATTGTTTAAGGCTGTTGAGTCTGGTGAATTACATCATTGGAGCATGAGAATTTTAAAACCCCGATTGATACCTTGTTCGTATTTTTAAAAACAATATTTTTGGTATCTTTAAACTGACAGACGTTGAGAACTGAAAGGAATCTTGAAAGTCTAGTTCAATCTTATTTTTTGTAGGGAAGCTGAGATTCAGAGGCTAAGTGAAATGTTTAAGGTCATGTTCCTTGCTAATGTCAGAGATAACACCAGATTCTAGATCTTCTGATTTCTAGCATATTCCTCATAATTTTAAAACAATGTGTTATTAACAGCACGTTATACAGTAACTGGCACATAGGAAATGGCACAGGAATTGGTACCATTATTGAGCACTTCCTGTGTTTTAGGCATCGTGAAAAGAACTTTTCATATAATTTAATCCTCACAATTTTGTATGCTCTTTTTGTATACAATAACTTCACTACTTAGCCTTTTCTAGTTGATAAATGAACTGTTGTATAATTAAGAAATTTTGATTTTTCTGGACTCTTTAGTCTCATCAGAATTAAAGTATCTTCTTATGCTGGGCACAAGATTCAAATGAGTAAATTCCTAAAATTCACTGTTTGCAGAGGGATTTCATCAATACTTTTTTAGCACTGTGTCTATAACCTCGTGATTGTAATAAATTAAATCTTCCTAAAAAAATACTTACATTTCTGTTTATAGAGTCCAGATCAGTCAGGATCAACAACTCCATCATCCAGTCAAGAAACCTTGCCGTTAGCTGTCAGTTCTTCCTCAGAAGGACTGAGGCAGCGTTCCCTCCCCCAAGCACAGACGGACCCCGCACAGAGTCATCAGTTCCCATACGTAATGCAAGGGTGAGTGAGTTCCTGGTAGCCGTGGGCCTCTTCGAAGTCTGTTTCTCCCGACTTTCATGGTAGCCCTCTGCAGTAATCAGTGCATTTGAAGTTTATTCCGTTACCTAAGTGCATATTTTGAGATTAGAGGGTGAAGTAGAGCAGTGCTGATGAAAGCTGCTCATGTATCAGAATCATCTAGGCTGTATTTTGTAGTTTTTAAGGTTTGTGCTAATCACCTGGGGATCTTGTGTAGATGCAGGTTCTGATTCACTAGGATGACTTGTAGTTCAGAAATGAAAATTTAGAGAAATGCTTTCAATTCCATAGCATTCAAAGACATTTCTTTATCTCTTTATGGCAGAAATGTAGACCACCAGCTTCCCGGACAAGCTGCTCCAGCCGGATTCCCAGTGTACCCCGCTTTCAACCCGCTGCAGGTGCTGTGGTGGCAGCAGATGTATGCTCATCAGTATTATATGCAATAGTAAGTGATTTCAGTATCTTCACTCACCGTGTTAATTGCTTTATTTTCTGCTTTTATCCCTAGTAATTTGGGATTACATTTGCTGATGTATTACATTAACTTGTAAAAATTATTATAATGAGTTCACAAACATCTCAGCAGATACTTATTAAAAAAATCAATTGGCTATATCCCTGATGAACATAGATGTCAAAATCCTCAAGAAAATATTAGCAAAACGAATCCAGCAATACATTAAAAATAACAATCAAGTTGGGTTTATTCTACTAGAACTGATAAATGAATTCAGTAAAATAGTAGGATACAAAATAAATATCCAAAAATCAGTTGCATTTTCATTTATTTATTTTTATTATTATTATTTTAAAATATATTTTATTGATTTTAGAGAGGGAGAGGGAGAGAGAGAGAAACATCAATGATGAGAGAGAATCATTGATTGGCTGCCTCCTGCATGCCCCCTACTGGGTTTTGAGCCCACATCCCAGGTATATGCCCTTGGCCGTAATCAAACCTGGGATATGTCAGTCGGCAGGCTGACACCCTATCCATTGAGCAAAACTAGCTAGGGCTCAGTTGCATTTTTATATACCAGTAGTGAACTATCAGTTAGGGAAACTAAGGAAATAGTCTCATTCACAATTGCTTCAAAAAGAAATAAAATATCTACGAGTAAGTTTAACCAAGGATGTAAAAGACCTGTACTCAGAAAATTACAAGACACTGAAGAAAGAAATTGAAAAAAATGCAAGCAAGTGAAAGTGTGTGTGTGTGTGTGTGTGTGTGTGTGTGTATATACACATACATACACACCCTGTTTCCCCGAAAATAAGACAGTGTCTTATATTAATTTTTGCTCCCAAAGATGCGCTAGGTCTTATTTTCAGGGAATGTCTTATTTTTCCATGAAGAAGAATACGGTACACATTTATTGTTAAAAGAAAATATAGGAAATTTATTACCTGTATATGGTACAGTAGTACGGTAGTTGTCAACACAAACCAGACAAACTGTGAATCCTACAGTATTAAGAATTTACTCATTTATTCAATGACAATCGTGTCATCATCTTCTGGAACATCATCATAACAATCCAATTCTTGAATTTCCTGGTGCATTTCTTGTGACTCCATTTCTTTCCGAATCAGTGGATCAAATCTCTCATGTTTAGGGGCGGCCTTATTTTCGGGGTATGCCTTCTATTTCACTCAGAAGGAAACCTGTAAGTAGGTCTTATTTTCGGCAGAACGACTGGTTGACCAGGTGCTATGACATGCACTGACCACCAGGGGGAAGACACTGAACACAGGATCTGTCCCCTGTTAGTCAGTGTGCTCCCACAGTGGTAGTGCCCCTTGGCTGATCAGGATTAGTGGCGCTCTCACAGCAGGCTGATATCCATAGGCCACACCCCTCACCAGTGCACGGATTCGCATACCTCTAGTATACCATGTTCATGGATAGGAAGAATTAACATCATTTAAATGTCCATGCTACCCAAAGCAATCTAAAGATTCAGTGCAGTTTCTATCAATATACCAATAGTGTATTTCATAGAACTAGAACAAATATTCCAAAAATCTACATGGAACCACAAAAGACCCTGAATAGTTTCAACAATCTTGAGAAAGGACAAAATTGGAGATATCAATTATACTAGAAGATCATATAAAAAAAACATAAAATGAACACTATGTGTTTATCACCCAATTTCAGCATTTACCAATTCATGGCCATCTTCTACAACTTTCTCCCTAGGCTTGATAATTTAAATTCTATATATATTATTTTACTGGGAGTATATTATAGGAAAATTTTTTCTGATTTTTCAGAAATTAAATTATAAGCAAACTTTAGAACCACAATTCTTTACAGGTTAACAAAGGACCTCTACCAGTGGTCCCCAGATAGAGTTCCTAAAAGTCAGGATTGGGGTTGAAGGGTTAATATTTTAAAATGCTAATACAAATAATTTATCACTGACATTGGACACATTTATCATGACTAATATGCATTTTTTAGACCACTCCTTCAAAACCTGGGTCGGAGGGGGAGGTGGTTAGGGACTATGTAGAGTGACAAAAGGGTAACTTTTGTTACCTTATAAAGTATTTAGTGCAAAGGAGAAATTATTGATTCATGTGGCTCTTCTTATCTCCCCTCCATTCCCCCAAATCAGGTTGAGGAATAGTGATAGTCCATATCATGTTTATGAAAAATACATATGGCTTATCCAAGATGCTTTGAAAAAGTATATAGTGTGTGATCAAGTTCTTCCTTTTTCAATATTTATTTTGGTGACTCTTCCAGTCAAGCTGCAGTTTCAGCTCAGGCCACATCAGATGCCACTCCTGCCCAGCCTGCGCCTTCACAGCCTCTAAATTTGGCACGACTTCCTGGAGAAGAACCCCCACCAGCTGCTAACTTAGTGGCCCGAGAAAATCGACCCATGAATGAGAATGTTCAGATGAATGCCCAGGGAGGTCCGGTGCTAAACGAAGACGACTTCAATCGAGACTGGCTAGACTGGATGTATACGTTCTCACGAGCCGCCATCCTGCTTAGCATTGTGTACTTCTATTCCTCTTTTAGTCGCTTTGTCATGGTCATGGGAGCCATGCTACTGGTTTATTTGTGAGTGATGTTCGTTACCTTTCTGTGGTTCCTTTTAATGACTTTCTGAAACTGTTCAGTACAGAATCTGGCTTATGGTCATCTGTCGTGAATGTCAGATGAGGAATATGAATGTCAGGTTTTGGAGATCTGGCAGCAGAAACAGACCAGGTTATGTTGAGTGAGAACGTTTATCAGAATTGTCTAGAAGCAAATTTTTCCTTTATTGTCATTTATAAAAATTATTAATTTAGCTATTAATATTTAGAACTGGTGGAAGTATATGATTCATTCTTGTACAAAGATGTTCTTTTTAATTATAGTTACTATAGTAAGTCCTTTAGGTACAGGTCAGATTTTTTTCTTCATAAATAGACTAACTTTGCCTTACCATAAGAGGCAAGCAAATTATCTAGTTGAATTTCATTTTATTTAAAAAAAAATATTTTATTGATATTTTACAGAGAAAAAGAGACAGGAATAGAGAGCTAGACAATCATCGATCAGCTGCCTCCTGCACACTCCCCACCAGGGATGTGCCGGCAACCAATGTACATGCCCTCGACCGGAATCAAACCCGGGACCTTTCAGTCCACAGGCTGACGCTCTATCCACTGAGCCAAACCGGTTTCGGCTGAATTTCATTTAAAAAAATAACAAAAGGTTTTATGACTCCTGACATGTCTTAATATCTAGTATAGATATTTAGTTCTCGGCCTAAAATAGGCGATGTGGTCCTTTCATGTAATATAGTTCTAATCATTTTTCTCTTATAAGACACTAATGTTTCATAGTTTTATAAATAAAAACAGCTGTGACTTATTTTTTTTCTCTTTGTTTTCCAAACAGACACCAAGCTGGATGGTTTCCTTTTAGGCAAGAAGGAGGTCAGCAGCAGGCTCCCAACAATAATGCTGAAGTTAATCATGGACAGAATGCAGACCACCTAGAACTTGAAGAAATGGTATGTTAATGAGGTTTGTATGCTTTCAGTGTGGATGTGTCCTCAGCAATGTATGAGGCAACATGAAAAAATAGTCTTATGTGTTCCATAAGTATTGGAGGAATAGCACATGAAGAAAAGTTAACATATAAGCTGTGTGGTTTCATCTGGAAGAAGTGGGAAGAACCAATATTTTTCTTCCTTAAAATAGCCTAGAAAGAAAATTAGGCACACAGTGAGAATTTTGTATTAAATTGTTAGTTGTCCCTTTGAACTCAAACACCAAGGAATTTATCAATTTTGGATTTAACAAAGATTTCTAATGACCAGTTGAGTACCTTTTTCTATCTCATGTTCCTTTCTCCTGTAGGGAAGAACTTAACTCTCTCCTTTTTTGGCATGCGTGTTTGCTAGCTGCTTCCTCACTTAGGAGTACACTTCTTGTTTTGTTTGGAAGGAGCGTCTCATGGATGATGGGCTTGAAGATGAGCATGGAGAAGAGGCAGGCGAAGACGGCAGTGCACTCCACAGGCCTGGACTCATGGCGTCCGCGTGGGCTTTCATCACCAGCTTCTTCACTTCACTAATACCAGAGGGGCCTCCCCAGGTCGCCAATTAGATCTGAAAACTGCCAGCTACAAAGGAAGGTCTGGCTTTAGGAACGTGACTTAAATAACAGTGCAATTTCAAAAAAATTTATTACTTCCTTTTCATCATCATGTACAGAGGTGTTTTTTTCTTTAAGCTTCTCATGCATATGAATAGTTTAAGCACAAGTGAACTACTAAATGTGTGATTTAAAAAAAATTCTAACAGAACATAGTATAACAACATTGGTCTTCCAGGTTCTATTAATTACAATTATGTGTATTAAATCAGACAGGCCTATATGTGCATCTTATTTCTTTAAAGAGCTGCTTCACATATAAGTATTATAATAGCCCAGCCCCAGTGTATAATTTGAATAAATATTATCTATTTTCTGAGTTATCCTAAAAGTTTTAAACAGAATGACCTCATAGTTTTTAAAAAGATTATTATTTACCTAAAATACGCTAGTAGCTTCTTGCCCAGCCATAAAGCAATAAACTTCTCAATGATCTTAATTTTGACATTTGAATAAATAATGGAAACTTTTCTATTTTAAGGGTAAGTGTCCCATCAATTGGAATCAGTACCTTAAAAAAAAAAAAAAAAGGCAGCTCTTCAATGGAATTAATAGTGATAAAAAATATTTGTTATAAGCAGTACTTTTATAAAATAAGATATGCCTGAAATCATTCCCTGTAATTTTTTAAAATAAAAGGTCAATTATGTTAAACTGTCTTAGGGGATATTTGTTTAAACTCTTCAGTAATGTACACAGGAGGTGCAAAACTTGATATAAATGTAAGAAGTTGTTGGGAAGGGTTGCTGAAGTCTTCAAAGTCATTTTCGCCTGTTCCATTCCAGATGGATATCTAGTTCTCAGGTGGTCCAAAACCTCAGTAGCTCTGGAAAAAAAAAAAAGCCACAAAAAACCTTGTGTGAGCCAATTCAGTATTTCAGATGAAAGGAGTAAGTTTCTTACAGGGAAGCTAATTAAAATTGGACAAATGAGGATAGGAGGACTTCCATGGGCAAACTTTCTCTCATAGGAAATGTATTACACAGTTAATGGTAGAACAAAATGGAAGGTTAAATACATCCATGAATTATTCTCTAGGTTGTTTACTCATAATGCTAATGGTGACATTTCAAGGGATAACTGGTTTACTTTTTGAAAAGTAAAATTAGGTTTCTGTTCATAGATGTCAATCAAGACATCATGATTGAGTATGAGCAGCTGAACCATAAAAATACAAATAGGAAATATAGACGATATCTATATAATACTGGGGTGAGAAAATAACTTTATCCCTAAAAAAAAGGTTGCTATGTATATAATGATTTGACAGACATAATTAAAAGCCAAACAATTAGGAAAATTAAGATTAAAGAAAAGGTAAGAAAACATTTTTTTAAAAAGGATAGTACCCCAGTAAGAAATGGACAAGCATACTCTTAGTCAGTTTAGACTGGGTGACTTCTTAAACAGCAAACATATATTTCTCACTATAGGTCTGTGTATGAAATCTGTGCACTGGGTAGGAGGGGGATCCCTCAGCCTGACCTGTGCTCTCTCCCAGTCTGGAAGCACTCGGGGGATGTCCAACTGAAGGCTTAGGCTGCAGGGAGCAAGCCTAAGCCTTCAGTTGGACATCCTTAGTGCTGTGGCAGAGGCGGGAGAGGCTTCCATCACTGCCACCTGTGAGCCTGGCTTTTGGCTGAGTGGCACTCCCCCTGTGGGAACGCACTGACCACCAGGGGGCAGCTCCTGCATTGAACGTCTGCCCCTGGTGGTCAATGTGCATCATAGCGACCAGTTGTTCCACCATTTGGTCAGTTTGCATATTAGCCTTTTATTCTATAAGATAGTATTCCTTGAGGCTGGGAAGTCCAAAATCAAGGTGCAGACCTGATTCGGTATCTGGTAAAGGCTCTCTTCCTTGTTTGCACAGAGGTGAAGCAAGGTCTCTCCTGTCTCTTACAAGGGCACTGCCTATTCATGAGGGCTCCTTCTCCTGCCCCACTAACCTCCCAAAGACCTCACCTCCTAATACTGTCACATTGGGGATTAGATTTGAAGGGTGGCGGGGGGGGGGAGTCACAAACATAACAGATAGCGTGGCAATAATCCTGAAAAAAAGTAATGTTTACGAGTTGAAACTATCACATTGTAATAGTGCTGGTGAAGCTATTGGAGGTGTAAAATAATATAAAGCCCATCTAGGACATATCAGATTTTAAAATTGCAGTCATTCAGTGGCATCCCATTGTTCCTTGAGTCAAGATCAGGCTTACGCAGACCTGAGAGGCAGGGCCCTAGATGGTGCAGCTGGTTCTAAGGACACCAATGTATTACTCAATTAGAATTTTTTTTTTTTTCATTGATTTCAGAAGGGAGAGGGAGAGAGAGAAACCTCAATGATGAAAGAGAAGCATTGATGGGCTGCCTCCTGCACGCCCCCTACTGGGGATTCAGTCTGCAACCTGGGCATGCACCCTTGACTGGCATCCAACCTGGGACCCTTCAGTCCACAGGCTGATGCTCTATCCGTGGAGCCAAACTGGCTAGGGTGCATTACTCAGTTTTAAATTATTTTCCCTATGCTGCTAATTCCCTCATATTAGTCTCACTTGTATTTTTTTTTTTTTTTTTTTTTTGTCAAAAATAATTAAAGGAGTCCCAGCCAGCATGGCTAGTGGTTGAGTGTCAACCTATGAACCAGGAGGTCACAGTTCGATTCTCAGGGCACATGCCCGGGTTGCAAGCTCAATCCCCAGTAAGGATTATGCAGGAGGTAGCCAATTGATGATTCCTCTCATCATTGATGTTTCTCTCTCTTCCTCTCTGGAATCAATAAAAATATATTTAAAAATAATAATTAAAGGAGTTGTGTCCAGATGGTGCCAGGGGAGTGGTGGCAGCCTGGAGGGCGGTGGCAGCCTGGATGGATATGGTTTCCAGGTGGCAGAAGGTGCGTCACAGAAGCCCAGACACGCCCTCTAGGCCAAACGGCAATTGGCAACACCGAGAGGGGTTCATGGGCTGTAAACCCTTCCCAGGACTGCTCGCCTTACAATCACAGGAAAGACTGTGAGGCTTTCTACAGTCGCGCAGTACTGGTGAGAGCCAGACATGTTAGGTGGGTGAAAGGAAAGGGGATCCCGAGGGCTGGAGAATGGAGCCAGCTCACCACAGTGCGGTCTCATGGCTCAGTGCCACGCCCGTCATTATTCTAAGGAATTCCTCTGGCTCTGACTCCCGCATCCTGTGGAAATCCGGCTTTTCAAATTAGGGGGAAAAGCCTCTTTCGGAGCCTCATTTCTGCTGTCGCTTCACTGAAGACGAAAGTGTGCTGATTTAAGACCAATTTCTGTAAGTCTGGACAGGTCAGACCCGGGGGCCTGTTGTATCTGAACTTATTGCTGCGTTTGTGAAACTGCACTGAGCCCTGGAATGTGCTGTTCTCAAGTCCGAGAGTGCTGGGGGTCTGGGGTCTGCGGGTGTGGAACCTGGGACAGGAAGGCCAGGGGTAGAGCAATGCAGGAAAGTTGAACCCCAAGAGATGGAAAAGACTTCTCGTGGGAGTGCATTTAGTACCTAGAGCAGACTGGAAGGTAAGCATTGCCAGCGTACAGGGACCATCTCATGACGACAGAAGGGTTACTTTATTGGGAACATGCGTCATGAGTGCTGAGCTGTTCATCATGTTCAGAGGCCGCCTGGGCTTGGCTCCTCCGGGTGATGGAGCTACCAGCCCTGAGGCACAGACTCAGTAAGTACCTGAAGACCGTGTGTGCTCAGGCAGGTTTAGGGAAAGCACAGATTCAAAAGCAAAGAAATTTAACTTTTGCCCTGGCCGGGTTGCTTAGAGTGTCGTCCCCATAAACCAAGGTTTCAGGTTCTCCTGTCAGGAAACAACCAATGAATGCGTACATAAGTGGAGCAACAAATCAAAGTTTCTCTCTCTAAATCAATATAATTAAAAAATTAAAAATGTTATTAATAATAAGCCGCACTCAGTAAATGCTTACTGGGCTAAGTGCTTTGCAGCGTTCATTGACTCAGTCCTCTCGACCGCCCTAGGCTGAGGGCTCTTCACTATATTTCTGCCCTCAGATGGGAGACCAGCCGCCACCAGAGCTGGTACTCACCACAAGGCAGGCAGAGCCCCTGCTCCATACACCGAGCTTGGCTCCGGTTTCACAGCCTGTCCCACTTCCCAGGTAAATGTTAGCATACCTCTCATGGCTCTGGGTTGTCATGGAAATACCTGTGCACAGGGTTAGAAAAGACCATGGGGGTGGGGCATGTTTTTTTGGGCTGCTGTGAACCCAGGACTCATCTAGGTACATAACAACCTTCAATGTAACCATTTTATTGATGGATTGATTGAGAGAGGAAGAGAGATTTGTTGTTTTTCTTATTCATGCATTCATTGGCTGATTCTTGTATGTACCCCGACTAGGAGTCCCACCTGCAATCTTGGCGTATCTGGACGATGCTCTAACCAACTGACCTATCCGGGCAGGGCCTGTGTTTTAATGAGGAAAACAAGGTTTGGGGATATGCAGGGATTGACCAAGTCACTTTGGGTAGGAGTGGAGGAGGAGTCTCTCCTGGTCTGCCTGACTCCAGTGCCTCTCCCCACTAAGTCACAGTGTCTTGCCACACTGCGAAGGTGGAGGACATTGATGAGATCTTGACGTGTGGCTCAGTCAAGGTTGTCTACATTCTCACAATACCTGTGACTGGAGGCAGGGGCAGATTTGTTGCACTTCCTTCTCTGTAGCACTAGGTGGCGCTGTAATACCACTAGCTCCACTGCTGTGGATCCCGGGGTTACTTCCCAGCTTGGGGGCACTGGAGGGCAGCAGCTGGCTCTGGGATTCTGGTCCTTGGAGGCTGGAGGCAGTAACACACACACACACACACACACCACACACCCCGGTCAGTTCCAGGATGGACGGTTCTGACAGCCTGGGCTTCTCAGACAGGCGAGGGGTGAATTCACTCCACATCCTGAGGCTGCACTTGGCACCTGGCACAGCGGACGTTCCTGCGAGTGGGGTGAGGTGTGTGGGCAGCGAGGAGCGTGGCACTGAGGTTAGGTACCCAGGAGGCCTTAGATTTAACAACTCGGTTTGTCTTTGAATCTGGAAGTGAAGTCCTGGCCCTGCTAACCTGCTTTTCTGCCCTCCTCAGGCTGCTGCTGGGGACGTGCTCGGGTTTATGAAGTCTGTGACTAGAATTCATCATGGCTCTTCCCCATGCTGGCAACTGACGAGCTGCCTTTAATAAA